ATTTTCTGTCATCAGTGCCCGGAGATCCGCCGGTTTTTGTTAAATAAGACCGTTGGGCGCCGTAGGGTCTAGGCTGGTGGGACTGGGTCCCGCCGATGGCTAGGCCGAGACTCACGGAGGGGGATGGGATAGGATGGGATGGGATGGGACAGGGAGCCGTTAAAGCGTACGATCGCCATTCAGCACGGCCACGAGACGAGAGAACCTGGCGTCCCAAAGCAAGGGATCGCAAAGGGCCAAAGGCGTGAGGAGAACCTACGCTAGGTGATGCCCTGCTTTGCCTGACGAGAAATCAAGGGATCATCCGGCAGGTTAAGCCGTTAAACGCGCATGCCATGCCCCCTCATCAAACAAATACCTTTGATCCTCGACTGACCTGGTTGATTCACGGTTGGCACTTGGCAGACGGGCAGACGGCGAGCGCAGCAGCCTGTGAGGCTGTGACCCTGTGCTGCTAGCTGCGTCGTCCGACTGGGCTGCGCCTGCATGCGCGACTGCGCGCACTCGAAAACGGGCCAAGGCTGCGACGGGGCTGCGGGTACACCTCCACTTTGCGGTGGCCGGCATGCACACCCAACGGCACGGGCACGGAAGCCGTTGCTTCTAGCCGTAGGCGTGTGCACCTCTGCTGCTCGGGAATGGTCGCCGCGTGCGAGCGTGCGTGCTTCGCCGCTTTTCAGGTGACCGCGTCTGCAGGGAGTGAGGTCGCAAAAGGCGACGACGGGTTTCTGACCGAGTAAACGCTGGCTGCTGTTGCACAGTGTTCTGGCTTCTGAACGAGACCACCACTCCGTGGAAGCACACTGACAACCCGCCGTTTCCGAACGTTCGAGAGCTCTCCCCCTCTCTGCTCCCGTGACTGGGTTTTATTGCCACGCGCCGGATACGACCAACGGTCGGAACCAGGAGCACAAACGGCGGACTACCATTAATCCGTTCCTAGGAAATCTCCGCCAACGGTAGGAGTGGGAGGCCGGCTCCCGGGGTCCCGCCGTCCCGGAGGAGGAACACACGAGTACACGACGAGTCGAGGACTCACATCCGGATCCCGTGATTTCTTCCGAGTCACGGCGCACGTCGGTCGGACTCGGACCTTCTCTTCCGTCTTGTTTGGCAAAAAGCACATACAGCTGGACAGCCGGTGAAGCGCTGCCAAACGAAACCCATAATTAGAGTAAGCTTGATCGGCCTATTGAATACCGAGTTTGACCTATGGAAACAGCGCTAACAGGCCATAAGGACTGACTTTAAAATAAAAAATGGGTTGACAAAGCTAAAACACAACCTAGAGCTCAAACTTGTTGATCTAATAAGTAAGTTGGACCGACTCAATCATTACATACAAACTTTTATGTAATTATTAGCATCGAAAATATCCTTTACTCTTTTTGGGTGCCAATATGCCATCCGGAAGGCTAAGACATTGACTAAATGTTTGACTTAGTTCCAATAGTGACTTATTTGTGCATCTCTTTTATCGTTCGATGGAGCAATCAAACGAGTAGTTCCTGGTGATCAGGATTACTCCATACGATAATCGGGAGTAATCATCGCGGTGGCCAACTGCATTTCCCTTGTCCAATCGGACTCCTCCACTGGTGCATAAGATAAGGCAGGCACCTGAGCCTCGTGGCTCTCGAGCGTTCCTGTTCCAGCTCATACACGCACCAAAGTTGGAAGAGCATGCCTCCGGCATTAACCCCTGTCTTCGACACGATGTGGTATTAAGACAAATGACGCCCAATGTCGACCGTCTGATCGCAGACTACAAAGCTTCTGTCCAGCTGTGGCTATACCGGGTACCTAGAAGGTCCACCTCCCTGTATAATTTCAGGAGCTCAGTCCAATTGATGTAAACTGCTCCTGTCATGTAACTCCAGTTTCAAGCCCTAAACTTTGGGTTCATTGAACCCTTGTCCACCCACCGGAATTTCCGGCATTTGTGGCGATGCAAATCAGGTGGGGACTCTTCATCCCCCGTTTAACTCAAAAAAATATCGAACATAGAACGGAAACATGTACCGTTACCAAAACACTACTGTTTGGTTCGGCCGTCAGAGCCCACGATTCGTTCACAGCGCTAATCGATCCCCTTATTTTGTGTTTCGTTGGACTGACCTACAATCGATTACAGCGTAAATAGATAGATACTGGCCCATACAATCTCGTTACTGCTGTCTTCCCGGTGTTATCTGATTCCGTTCCCCGTGCAGTCGCCCTGCGTAGGCGGTTTGTTGGCAGGAGGGGCGGAACGTTTCTGCATGCGCAAGCCTGTTTTGTACCGCTATTTCAGCAGTACTACTACGAGATCCAGTGGTTTTGGCAAAGTTTCAAAAATACTCGGCAACTGCTTTGCCGAGTGTAATACTCGACATACAACACACGATATCTGTGTGTCGGCAAACAGCTATTTACCGAGTGTTTTTTATCGCGCACTCGGTAAATGGTTTGCCGAGTGTCTAAATTTGACACTCGACAAAAAAAAAAAGTGGTTTGCTGAGTGTTTTTGAAAAATACTCTCGCAAATGATTATTGTTTGCCAAGTGTTTTTGTAAATTACACTTGGCAAATATATTTTCCAAAGAAAAAAATATTTTTTTTAGCATAACATTGTTGTTTGCCGAGTGTTTTTCAGAATTACACTCGGCAAACCTATTTTCCAAAGAAAAAAAATAATTAGGAATTACACTCGCCAGCTACCATCTGTGTGCTGCTATCACTTCCCAATTCACTTATTCTAGCAGATATAAGTCCAGGAGAAGAAATATAGAATTTATACGGCTGATCACACGCAAGTGCATGAAAAACTGTTGGATTAATTTCTCTTGCAGCTGAGCACCACACAGGATCAGGCACCGAACAAAGAGAAAGAGATGCTAGTAAACTTTTGACCAATCAAAAAATAAGCACGGACTGCTGCACTTGGTTACCGGACCTATGAGCAAAGGAGGGGAGGGAGGAACGCCGCCGGGGAAGAAGGTGGAGGGAGATCCGGCCTCCAGGCACCGGACCTGCGAGCAAAGGAGGGGAGGGGAGGAATGCCGCTGGGGAAGAAGAAGGTGGAGGGAGATCCGGCCGCCCATCGTCAAGATCCGGCCGTGCCCTGTCGAATCCGGCCTCCGGCCACCGGACCTGCGAGCAAAGGAGGGGAGGGAGGAACGCCACGGTGAGGCCTCCCCACTGCCGGAGTTGATGCCCGTGAGAGAGGGTAAGGGCCTCCCCCACCATGGATCTGAGAGAGAGAGAGAGAGAGAGGGCATACCTCCACCATGGATCTGAGAGAGAGGTGAGAGCCGGAGGGCATACCTCTCCGTCGCAGCAGAGACGCGCGTGAGTAGGACGGGTTTTGGGATGGTGGCCGCAAACTCCGTGGGGAGAGGGATGTGTGCACCACCGGGGTGGGGAGAGGGATGGTGGCGCCCGCCATGGGAGGGGAGGGGTGGGCGCCGCCACCATGGGGAGAGAGGGAGGAGGGAGGCACCGGCTGCTGGGGAGGAGGGATGGATGGCGAGGAGAGAGAGAGAGAGTGGAGGAGGGAGGCGAGGAGGAGGAGGGATGGCCGAGGAGGGAGAGAGAGAGAGGAGGAGGAGAGAGGCGCGGCTTCTGCTGCATTGGGGGGACGGCCGCCGCCACAGGGTGGTTATCAAGAAGGGGGAGGGGGAGGGGCGGGCGAATTAGATATTTTGTCCTTTGTCGAGTGTCCTAGATCTGTTTTTTTAAGTTTTTTTTAATTTGTTTTCTTCTCTTTTTTTCCAGAATTTTTTTCTTTGCCGAATGTCCTAGATCTGGATACTTGGCAAAGTTTATTTTTTTTCTTCTCCTCCTTTTTCAGAAAAAAATATTTTTTTCCTTTGCCGAGTGTCCTAGATCTAAGCACTCGGTAATTTTTTTTTTCATTTTTTTTCTTCTCCTTCTTCCCCAGGAAAAATATTTTACTTCTTTGTCGAGTGTAAAAAAACACTCAGTAAACCCTCTCTTTGCCGAGTGTTTTTTTTGACACTCGGTAAATCCCCTCTTTGTCGAGTGTTTTTTTCCGAGGGTTTTTAGCGCAACACTCGGTAAAAAACTTGTTCGCCGAGTGTCCGAGGGAATACACTCGACAAATTTGAGAATTCCATAGTGACTTTTCAGCGAACGAACAGTATTTTCATCTCACAACGAATCAACGTAAGCCAAATTTCAGCGAAACGAACAGGGCCGCAGGAAGCTACGGCAACCGAAGCCGAAGCGGGCGTTGATGGGTTTTGTGGATTCAACGTGTTCTACTGGTGGTTATTAAAAAACTTCACCTGGTTACCTGCATGTGACCGTTGCTGCTAGCCAAACACGATTAAGGAAATGGATGCCATCAAAAACTCCAACCATGCAAATGTCCACTTTCTCTTACCATGGAACAGATCACGCTGCTACTGATTACATTTCCATTGCCCGTTGCCCTGACCGAACAAAACAGCACCAAGCACGTCCAAAATATCGGACAGAGAAGAGCGGAAGACCTGGGCTTGCCGTGTGCTAGCTGATGGGCTTCTCCTCAAGTCGTTAAAACTGGGCCGGTCCAGCTTACCCCTTCATTGCGTGTCTGTGTCGTCTTCCTTCGGCACTTCGCTGCAGACTCACGTGGAACGGAGGAAGGAGGTCAGCCATGACGGCCGGCAAATCTCTTGTCCGGGCCTCGACCGCTGCCGAATGGACGGGAAGGAGAGGCGGCGGGGGAGCGGTGGAGGCACGCCGAGATCCGTCGAACGCTGTGCCGTTGTCGCTTTCGTCTTCAACATCAGGCGATCGGCAGCTCGGTTCCTCTGCGGTTGTCCGGGGTCGGGGTCGGGGCGGCTCAGGGCTCAGGCGAGGGGAGGGTCGGTCCGCCTGTGTTCGACACGGCCAGTTACTTCGTCCTCTGTGTTGGTTTCGTATAGAAACCGAATCCGATTAGAGGTCTTCTCTCTCCGGCTATAAATATCTGGCGAACCGAGAGCGGGGCCCCGGGCACGGAGGGATCAGGGATGTCATCAGAGGTCAGAGCACAACCAAAAAAACAGAGAAGATAGGCGGGCCTTCGGCCTTCCCAGTGCCGTGCCCGTGCCCTTGCGGCGGTGACAAGGTGCCTTGTCAAGATTAATGACACCGCTAAACCAAGGGATTTGCACTCCAAATATGTCTAATCGCGCCGGGCGCAGGACAGCCAAATATGTAGGGCAAAAACTAATTGTATAGCCGGCGATTTATGAGACAAGAATCTTTTAAGCACCTGTACCTGGTGTTGATTGACTGGGTTTTGGATACTCTATCCGGCAGATGGCCCCTTACACCATGGTCTTTGTCTCGGCCTCCGAACGACTTATGCAATTTATTTTTTTACCGCTCCTGCGGCAACACCCTCCCTGCGCTGCACCTCATAAATTTTTGTCAACAGATCAAACACCCTATAATTGCAGCCAGGGGTGTCTAAGCGCCGGGCGCAGGACAGCCAAAGTCAGGGCAAAAGACCGCGGCCGGCGATCAAGAAGCACCTGTACCTGGTGTTGGATGACTGGGAGAGGGGATACTCTATCCGGCAGATCGACCCTGACACCATGGTCTCGGTCTCGGTCTCGACCTCCGACGACTTAGCCTGCGCCAATCGGGACCCAACGCGCCTTCCCGAGCCCGCAGCGTTCCGGTTCGTGGCACCTGCTTCGGAATCGGACACGCAATTCATCGCCATGGGCAGCAGCATCGTCGTCGTGGGTAGCAGCGGAGGCGCAGAGGCTCCAACCGTGGTGTACGACACGGGGGCAGCGGCGCTGGCCACCGGCCCTCCCTTGCCGGGCCTCCTCTCCGACTTGCTCGTCGCTGTAGCAGGCGGTGACGCGCTGTACGCCTTCGAGGCGTTCTGGTGGGCGCCGCGCACCCGCGAAGCGGCGGAGCCGGGGCGTCCGACGCACTCGTGGTCGTGGAAGAGCGTCGCCGCGCCGCAGCCGCCTTTCGCTCCGGATGCCATCGTGTCCTACGCGGTGCACCCGGACGGGCGCACCGTCTTCGTGTCCACGGCCCCGCGCGCCGCCCACGGCTCACCCCGCCGCGGCAGTCGCGGCGGCACCCACTCCTTCGACACCGCGCGCCGCGAGTGGCGGTGCCACGGGGATTGGGTGCTGCCGTTCCACGGCCAGGGCTTCTTCGACCGCGAGCTGGACGCGTGGGTTGGCCTCGACGAGGAGCAAGGCTGCGTGTGCGCCTGCCAGGTCGCGTCCTGCAGCACGATCAGCATCGTGCCGACGGAGTCGGACAGGATGGAGGAGAAGCTGTTCCGCGCGGCGGGCGAGAGAGCACGCGCTCGGAGGCCACGCTCGCGTACATGGCCGACAGCAAGTTTTGCCTCGTGGAGAGCGTGCCTCGGCGTCTACCTCGAGAGGAGGATGCTGGGCTCGGGAACGATCGCGTCGTTCGTGTGACCGTGTTTGGCCCCAAGTTCGATCGGAAGGGGAAGCTGAGAACTACGAGTCACCGAACCAGTAGCTCGTATGTAGTGTCCAAATACGTGACGTCGTTTTATCCTGTAGCATTCTGGATGTAGGAGATACTGTTTGTGTATGTCACCGGTTCTGTGATATTTGCGGACGTCCGATATTTACCCCATCTGTCTCAAGCTAACCGAAGTTCTATATTTATCCTAAGTCAAACAAAATAAATTTTGATCAAATAAAATAAAAACCATCAACATTGATGGCACCAAATACATATAAAATAAAAGTATGTTTTATGATAATAACACCGTAAATATTACTATTTTATTATAATTTATTAGTAAACTTAGAAATGATTTGACTTGAATAAGCCTAGGATATCCGTCGTCATTGGAGGAAAAGAGTGGACAGCGTACTACAAAACAGAGCCTTATGCTCCAACGATCAACTCAAAACATTGGACAAGACGTAAGATCCAATGTTTCGGAACCAGTTCGAAACACATTTGAAACGATGAAAGAAACATCAGCATTTGCATCATTGAGTACAACATAGGCTGCAGATTTGTTACCTCCAACCCTTGTGTCTAATTTCCTCTCCACGACCGACCAATGATAATAAGATTGATGAATGATGAACCGGGTTCATATCCTCGTGGGGGGTGTTCAGGAGCACCACCCTCTCTCTCCTTGCAGATAGTGACCACAAATTGATCACCTGTTCATGAAATCGATGCCTGCAACACTGATCTTGTCGTGGCAATCATCGAAATCATCGTAGGTAACAAGATCCTGATCAAAAATCATCTAATTTTGTTGATAGATATATTTGACTAAGGTCTTGTTCGCTTCTATCATGATCCGTACTTTTTAGCTTGTTTTTTCCATCGAAACAGTGTTTTTCTCTCACAACAAATCAATCAGAATAGTGTTTCGGCTTGTTTTTTCAGCGAAGCGAACGGGGCTAAATCCTAAGCAAATTAAATTTTAAAACTATTGTAAAAGAGAGATTGGGTCACCTCTCCTCCTCGTGGTCACCGACAGATTAACCAGAGAGGAAGAAAAAGAGTGCTAGACGGCAGAGTGACGATGGCGGCGGCTGCTCCAGCGGCGTGTCCTGGTACCGAACCCCTACTACATCCCTACACACACCAGTACCTCTCTTGTCTGTCTTCTTAATCTGCGAAAGGAAAATAAAGGAGAGATACTGCATGACAGCCAACTGAGAGCCAACTCGTATCGTCTTCATCAAGTGGCCGGAGTACTATCAGGCTAAAACTATTGCAATGAATCTCATGAAATCGCTCGACACGATCGTCCCTATTCATCATCAAATCATATTACATTACTTTTGGTCTCAGGTGTAGTCAAATCCCGGTCCGACGACTATAATGGAATGGAGAGACGGTTGCATTCGCATCGCATCGTGGGTCAATAATCGAAAATAGAAAGGGCGTAGAGAGCGTACGCTCCAACGGTCTTGTAGTCCGTAACGCTAGTATAGTACCAGTAGTGAAAGTGCGGTACCCTGACACGGAGCAGCTGCGGCTGCTGGTGTGCACGGTGCACCATTGGCGCCGTTCGCTGGTCTGATTTTTTCAGACCAGCCGACTGGTTCTTCTCACAAATCACTATGTATGTTTTAACCGCCACGATTTCGGCGGTTTAATTTAAGTTTGAACGAACGGCGGATCGCCCCCGGCCCCGGCAGACCCACCGCAGACCGCAGGCAAAGGGTCGGCTCGCGGCCCTCCCGTCCCCGCACGGCGCTGGATCGCCTCGAGCACGCGCGCATGGCGCATCCGAGGCTCCGATCGGTGAAAAACCCATCGCGAGTGGCCTCGCGCGCCTCGCTCGTGCCGTGCCGTGCCGTGCCGTGTCGGGTGCCGCGAGCCCCGCCCCGCGTCGGTGATCCCACCCACGGACTTGAGGATTCCCGGGCAGAGAAAAAACATAATAAAAAGTAGACGCGCGCTTTAACGAACCCCAACGTCCTCCGCGTCCCTCGCTCCCTCTTCCCTTTTCCCTTCCCTCCTCACGTCCTCCCGTCCTCCCCCCAAAAAACAAAAACAAAAGCCGCCCGAGCCGCTGCGCAGCACGGCGGTAGAGGAAAACGCACTGGTTGTGGTTGCATCCAGGTCAAAACTTTCGGCGCGCTGCGAAGGGAGTCGGGCGCTGCGGGCGGGAGGTGGCATGAGGGAGCAGCAGGGTTCCGGCGACGTGGCGGGGCGCCGCCGGGGCGGGGTCATCAGATCGCTGCTGGGCGTCGAGCGCCGGCTCGCGGAGGGCGACGCGGACGCCGAGGGGGCGGTCGGAGACTCCTCGGGGAAGCAGCCGGCCGCCGCGGGCAGCGGTGGCGAGGAGAGGAAGGCCGTGGTGAGGGTGGTGGCGGCCGACATGCCACCCGCGCTGCAGCGCCGCGCGTTCCGCTGCGCCCGCGACGAGCTCGCCGCCATGCCGCACTTCCCGCGCCGGCTCGAGCCCAAGCGCCTCGCGCTCGCGCTCAAAAAGGTAAATGTGTTTTTTTCCCTCCGAATTGACTATACCCCGTAGCTACCAATGCTAGGACTTGCATATTCCTATTGGCAAGTTCACTTACAAGTCGCGAATTAGAGTCTCTGAGACGCTGCTTAGACTTCAGTGAGGACATCGTCTTGCATTCTTGATTGTTATTGTTACTATTACTAAATGGTTCGCTTCATCGCCCCTAACCCTAAGAATCAAGGATTATTGGAGCGGCATTGCTGCTATAGTGTGATTGCACTTGTTTTTATACCCTCATTGTGCACTAGCGTCTTCTCACGGGAATGCAGTCATAACTGGTATATATGATATGTCCCTTGTTGTGCCTTACCATGAGTCCATGGCGTCGATTGCACGGTGCATTCATATCCATTCTGATTTGATTGCCCGTGGAGTAATCTTGGACTGTCTTCATGCGTCCGAGTCCAAAATAGTCCTGTAGTTCGTTTGCCTTTCAGCTCATTTGGAAGGTTCTCCCATCATTGGCAGTTCAAGCATCAGTTTCTGAACAACCAGGCGATGGGGTCAGGTTGAATGAACTATATATACTTCGTAACAGTTCTAAGCCATCCTTGTGCAATCTATGGTAGCTAACCACCAATACTAGCAATTAATACACTGCACAATCATAAGGTCATGCCATCATATGCTCAGGTGGTTGTCATTTCACAAAATGGTACTCATATCCAAGTTTGACTGATCATGCGGCAACTTTGAACAGATTATTGATCTTGCATTTGTGTATTTGTATCTACTGGTTTTAATGTACCATTTTCCAACTTTAAGCTATCATTTCGAAATCTTCATTTTGTACTACCGAACATGGTTCGTGCTTACATATTGTAAAGACTGTATGGATCTTTTCTCAGTAATATGAATCTGACAAAAAACCTCCAAGCAACCAAACAGCCGAATCTAGGACCACCTCGCACAATTCATCGCCATATGTGATCATACAACCACATATAACTTATTCCAATTATTTGTCCGCAATTTCCTCAATTTGCCCGTCCTTCTTGCAATCCTGTACCACTGTACGTACTGATAAGGTCTCATCCTTTGCTGACAGGAGTTTGATACTGCTTACGGGTCAGCTTGGCACTGCATCGTGGGGACGAGTTTCGGTTCATATGTCACGCACGCCCGGGGTGGATTCTTGTATTTTTCCGTCGATAAGGTCTACATCCTGCTCTTCAGGACAGCCGTGGAGCCCTCACCTCATTGACGGCCACCAGCCTACCACCAATGGACAAATGGTTCATAAAAATGCGCAGTTCTTGGGACAGCTCACACCAAATTCAGTTGTTCAGTCAGCTAGGCCGAGGCCTTGTAACTTGTAAATTCCATTGTTTCTTGAAGGCAAATGGAAACTCTTCATGTTTCTGATAAAATTTCGATTTGTTGTTGTCATCTGTTTCAACTGAATCTGTTCAAGACTACTAATGGTTTTTGTTTTCGTGCCAGATAGTGTACAATAGATTTCTGACTCCTTTGTAGATGGCCAGATAGTATCAAAAGTTGCAGAGTATCAAATGAGCTTGAACTTACCTTCTGTTGTTTTGCAAGGCAGGAATTACTGCCTGCGATCATCAAGAGGTACATGCAACACAGTATAACACATTTGTTTCTAAAAAAATATGTAGAAATATCGATGTGGATCATAACAAAGATAACCTAATCAATAATCTCGTCTAAGTTCTGATATATACACATTGACTATCAGATTCAACATATGTCAAGCCACGGTGGAGCTTGACAATGACATTATCTTTTCAACACCCCCAATAATAATAATAATAACCTCAATAATAGATAGATAGATTAAACCTGCCCAGATCATTGGAGGATCAGACGACCATATCAGCCTCCATCAAACTAGAGGGAACTGCTAGATTGATCTCCACCGGCTCGGTCCAATGACCGAGTCGGACCCTGACTCGCGCCCTGATCGGGGGCGCCCAACCAAATCATGGTTGGTGGGCCCCCGTTGCGCAGCGCTATAAAGAGGAGGTGGGGGCCGGGGGCTCAAGTGACGAGGTTAGCCGCCGCCCACAGTACCCCACCTACAAACCCTAACCGATCTAGAGGGAGGCGCTGACAGCGACGGGACGCTCCACCGATGCCTCTGCACCATGCCCGTCGTCCGCACAGTCGTCGGACGCCACTGCCTCCCCTTCGCCGACACCCTACGTCACCGACACCGCCATGGCTTCCTCCTTCACCAAGCCCGATGGTCAGCGACTTCTATCCCCTCTCTCCCTCTCTCTCTCCCTCTAGGTTTCATACCGTAGATAATAGTTGATGCTTATGTCAAGATTTCTAAGAACATACCCTCTTGATCTACACCTAGGTGATCCTAAGTTCTGCTCGTCTTCCTGCTCGACGCCGAATCGCCGGCGCGAGGGCCGGGGCTCAGGGCACCGTCACGAAACTGCTCGACGGCGGCGCGCTCTCCCTCGCGGGGAA